GTTCAGTTTCGTGGAAATCGGTCCAGATTTAGATATAGCTCCCATATATATTTTCGTCCGATTTAAGGTAAATGGTGCACCAAAGTCCCTATATATCTTTCGATTTTCACGAAATTTGGCATAGCGTACTGAATCAAGCCTAGAACGATGTGTGTAAAAGTTCTTGAAAATCGGTTCAGATTAAGATATAGCTCCCATATATATTTTCATCCGATTTTATGTAATTGGTGCACCAAAGTCCCTATATATCTTTCGATTTGCACGAAATTTGGCATAGCGTACTGAATTGCGTCTATAATAATGTGTGCAAAGTTTCGTGAAAATCGGTTCAGATTAAGATACAGCTCCCATATATATTTTCGTCCGATTTAAGGTAAATGGTGCGCCAAAGTCCCTAAATATCTTTCGATTTGCACGAAATTTGGCATAGCGTACTGAATCAAGCCTAGAACGATGTGTGTAAAAGTTCTTGAAAATCGGTTCAGATTAAGACATAGCTCCCATATATATTTTCATCCGTTTTATGTAATTGGTGCACCAAAGTCCCACATATCTTTCGATTTGCACGAATTTTGGTATACGGTACTGAATTAAGTCTAGAATGATGTTGCTAAGCTTCGTGAATATTTGAATTGCAAACATTTTTCATTTGTTTATTTTTCATGTTTTTTTTTTATTCTTCTTCTTTTGTATTTTCATAATCAAATTTCTTTGAAACCACAACCTTTTTTTGTTTGTTTTTGATTTTAAAAAAGACAAAAATAATAATTAAATATTTAAAGGAATATGATAAAAAAATTATTAAAGAAAAATATAATAATAATTATAATTATCACAATATAATAAAAATATTTATAATAGTTGTTGTAAAAATTACAGTTTAAATCATTTTACGAACTAACATCACTTGCTTGAGGTATTTGCACCCTGACCAGCAGAAATGGGTTTAGTAATTTTCGCCTGAGGACCACGTCGTCCAAAATGTTTCTGTCGCACTGCCTCCTTGATGCGATCCACCTCGTATTGATAGCGTTTACGGTCACGCATGGCACCTTCTTTGGCTTCTTTCAGCGCTGTCTCCAAGGCCTTGACACGCTCCATGGTGGTGCGCAAACGTTTCTCCAATTTGGGCAATTCACAGCGTAGATCGGCATTGTCACGCACCAATTGTTTGTGCACTTTGGTGAGTTGGTCCAGATTATTTTCGAGGAAGGAGATTTTCTGTTTTTGGGCCAATGAGCCACCGTCTTCTTCGCTGTCCTCGTTTAGAACGGTTTTCTTAATGCGGGCCTGTAAGAAAAGGTAAAGAAAAACACCAAGAAAATGAAATCAGTACCGATTTTTTTTAATTTAGGAATCTTCTGCATAGTTTTAGTTTTTTTTTTAACAAAGGACTTTCAAGACGTTTCCAAAATATCTTCTTAAGGCAGAATATCGTCAGGATTTCTATAGAAATAAAAGCTCTTCTAGAAACTAAAGAAATCGGGAGTATTTCTGTAGAAATACGACCATAGCTATTCTAGAGAAAGAAAATATATCTTCTAAAAACAGAAAGCCTTAAATAAATATAGCAGAATAACTATAAGAGGTAATTTTGAGAGAACAGAAATTTATGGGTTCTTATAAAGACAGAAGACCCCCAGGAGGAAGACATTCAAAAACTTTACTAGAGACAGAACACTTTCAAGTGGTTTTTGTTGAAAATAATACCTTTAGGTGGTCTTCTAGAAAGGGAACAATTTTCAGAGACAAAAGGTCTAAAAAGGCCTCAAAAGACAAGTATTATAGAGACAGAATTCCTTCAAGGGGTCTTCTAAAGACGAAAAACCTACAAAAGGTCTTTAGTGAAAAAAAGAAATTCAAGAGAGATTCAACAGAAAGAATAACAGAGACAAAAAATCTTCAAGAACCGTTCTAGAGGCACAGACGACTTTGAAGAAGTCTCCTATAGAAAAAATATAGTTTAGAGTTCTTCATTACAAATAATATCTTCAGGAGGCTTTTAGAGAGAAAAGACCGTCAAGAGCTCCTCTAGAAAAGAAAACCTTCAAAAGACCCCGATTCGACAGAGGTCTTCTAAAGACATAAAAGGTCTTCTAGAGACAAGGGAACTTGAAGAGAGTTTCAATAGGAATAAGACCTTGAAGAGGTCTTCCAGAGACAAAAAAATCTTCTAGAACCATACTAGACGCAGAGGACCTTGAAGATGTCTACTATAGACAATACATTCCAGACATCTTCTAGAAACCTTCAACAGGTCTTTTAGAAAGAGAATACGTTCAAGAGGTCTTCTAGAGACAGTAGACCATCAAGAGATACGAGGTCTTTAAGAATAGCTATATATTTTCAAGATATCTACTAGAACTTCATGAGATCTTCTTGACACGAAAATCCTGCAAAAGGGATTATATAGATAAAGGATCTTTAGATGTTATCTGTAGACATCATACCTTCAAAAATTATTCTTCATTTGATAGGAGAGCCACAAAAGGGCTTCTTGAGACAGAAGACCTTCAAGTGATCTTCTTGAGACAGAACTCTTCTTGTGAGAGAAGACTTTTAAGAAGTCTTCTATAGACCATCAACACTTCTCTTGAGAACTCCTTCAAAGGGTCTTCTATGGAGATAAGACCTTTAAAAGAACCTCCCCTTCAAATGATCTTCACTTCAAAGTAACATCCCTTTAAAAATATATTCATTAAACTAAGGCCTTCTTCTATAAAAAGAATACATATAGAAAGAAGACATTCAGGAGGTCTTTTATAGAGAGATTACCTTCAAAAAGTATCCTACGGGCAATCAAAAGCTATTTTTTCCGAATCTATAGAGCGAAGAAGGCCTTCTTCTGTAAACAGAAGAACTTCAGGATATCTTTTATGGAGAGATTACATTCAAAAAAGCTTTTTTTGCCGATTTCTATAGAGCGAAGAGCTTCTACAGGTCTTCTGCAAATAAAAAATCTTCCGCTCGAACGTCTACTCACCTGTAAATTTTGAACAAACAATTTCCGCAAATTATGCAATGTCTGCAATTTCTTAGCCACTGTATCTTCCAAACCCTTGAGATCATTACGAGCCTGTTCACGCCTCTCGTTGGTGAGTATGATTTCTTGTAATTTATTTGATTTCTCAGCCTCTTCTTGTTTCAATTTCTCGTAATCGGCAGCCATTTGTTGATGGGCGAGGATTAGCTTCTGATGCAAATCCTTCATTTCTGCCATTTCGTGTTGCTTGGCAATGATTTCATCGCGCAATTCGGACACCTCTTTGGTATGCGCTTCACGCAACTCATCTATGCGCTTCACACAACTCATCCAACTCATCTGCAATTCCTCACCCACTGTATCTTCCAAACCCTTGAGTTCTTTACAAGCCTGTTCACGTCTCTCGTTGGTGGGTATGATTTCTTGTATTTTATTTGATTTCTTAGCCTCTTCCTGCTTCAATTTCTCGTAATCGGCAGCCATTTGTTGATGGGCGAGGATTAGCTTCTGATGCAAATCCTTCATTTCTTCCATTTCATGTTGCTTAGCAATGATTTCATGGCGCAATTCGGACACCTGTTTGGTATGCGCTTCACGCAACTCATCCATTTGTGAATCGAACATGGCGCGTAATTCTTCGGCCTTTTGCTTTTCTTCGGCATTGACAGCGGACACATGCTCGGCTGCCTTAAGTTTAGCGCATTCTTCACGCAACGAATCGATTTGTTCCTCTAGTGAACGTTTCTTATTTTCAGCTTCACGCATTGATTGCTGGAGCAAGGATTTCATGTTAGCCTTATGCTGGGAAATAATCATACGATATTCACCCAAATCTCTTTCGTATTCGGAGAGTTTCTTATTGGAATCGATTTTTTGTGTTTCCAAGTTGTACAGGCGGGCCATGGTGAAATCTTCTTCCACCTTGTCGATGTCGCCGGCACTGGGTATGCTGTTCATTTTCATGTCGGTTGTGGAATCGGCTGAGGATAGGGTTTGGCCAACTTCGGCCAGATCGCGCAAAAGGTCGGACAACATTTTTTTGATGTGTTTCTTTTTTTGTGAGGAGTTAAGAGTCAATTCTACCATTTCTAGTATGACTGCTTTCTTCTCTTCCTTGGCCGATTCGTTCTCCTGTTGAGTGCGAGCCATTTCGGACTGCAAGGCTTCGTATTCACGACGGGCATTGGCAATGAGTTTCTCTTGCTCCACGATTTGTTCCTTAAGATTTTTTACATATTGACTTTGTTGGTTGATATCCGCCACTAGGTCCACAGCCACACTGTTTGTCACGTGAATCGGCTGAAATGAGAATGAGATGAAAAGTAGGAATAAGGTTTTTAAGTCGCTAATCGAAAGCACATAGGACGGAGACAACAGTGACCATGTATCTCATAAAGTAATAGGCCTGCCAGTGGTAAGCTAAGGGTCGCTAGATTAAATTGGCTAGAGGAATGAATGTCTAATGATTGGAACATCAGCATCCTGTGTCCCGTGCACAAAAAAGGAGACAAGACGATATGTGGCTACTATAGAGGAATAAGTCTCCTTTCCATCGCATATAAAGTGCTATCCAGCATACTGTGTGAACGACTGAAAGGTGGCGATCAATGACATTATTGGACCATACCAATGCGGCTTCAGGCCTGGCAAATCCACCATTTACCAGATTTTCACTCTGTACACCTAACAGCATATGTTACTCGCCGACGGCATCGACATAATGGGTCGAACATTGCGAGCGGCAACAGCCACCTTTGAACGAATTAAGAAGAAGTATGTCAAAATTGGGACTGGCAGTAAATGGCGAAAAGACTCGGGCCAACTGTGGATCTTGAAAACTACAGCTTCGAGGTAGTGAACGATTTTATATACCTCGGTACCGCCATAAACAAAACTAATAATATCAGCTTTGAAATCCGGAGGAGAATAGTGTTGACCACCAGATGCTGCTATGGTCCCTGCTCAAATGCAGGGCCACCTCTCTTCAGACCAAACTCACACTCTACAAGATGCTGATATTACCAGTGCTGTTATATGGTTCTGAAGCATGGGTACTTGTGCAAGCAGATGAGGCAGCTCTTGGAGTGTTTGAAAATTCTCCTGAAGATCTATGGGCCGATCTTCGACGATGGTGAATATCGCCGTCGAATGAACCATGAGCTATACCATTTATTCTCGGACATCGACATAGTCAGACGGATCGAGCAGCAGCGACTACGTTAGCTAGTGTGCCAAGTGATGATTCACGCAGAACAAACTCTCGGAAAACAGTCTTTCAAATTTGATCAGATGCGCACAAGACCGATGCGAATGGGAATCTTTTTTAAGCTCGACTTGTGGAACAACTGTCATAAGCCAACTAAATAAGTAAGACACGTCATGTTTTCTAGCAGGACTCTAAGTCTGCATGAGACTTGTGGCAAATTTGCTCATATTTGCGTCCTTTGGTGCATCAGTATGACTGCTATAATCGAGGACCCCAACAGAAGCAAAGCAGAGTAGTAGCAGCTGCCAAGATAAACACGAGCAGATTTATCAGGATGGTGTAACGTCCTCAATTCCTTTGGGGCGCAAATTGTCAATATCAAAAACTATGGGGACGCATATCGTATACCTCATGTGGATTAAAACCATTCGATACTTTGCACTTGTTTATCTGTCCAGTCTTACCTAATCCCGAAGCCTTTGTATGTTGCAAGCTTCCTGAAATAAGCAGCTGTGGAGTCACAACCAAGCAACGAATAACAAACAAGTACTCTCTTGTGTTGCAAAACCAACCACCTTAATTTGAAACCCGGACAAAATAACCTGACATATTTCTCATTATAATCCATCCAATCTCCCTACGTGAAATTTGTTGATTTTCGGATCATGATTGGTATAAATTGTCCTTGTTCTTCTCATCTATATCGGCAGGTTTCTATGAATAACATTTCACGGTTATAAAAAATATTATTTAGTCTGAAGGACTGAAACACACCCATCATTTAGAAATTCTTTCAAATACCAATCGATTTTAATATAATTTCTTATCAATTTCATACGTCTTCGAGACCACGACGTTCGACAGTGCAAGGATGAACAAGGTTATCAAGTCGTTTCCACGATAGGTGGGTCTACGATCCGAAACGACCTGAGTCTTTTTTGGCCAACGTCTGTCTCCTCAGCCCATTGTGTAAAAGCAATAGGGCTGGACTGGCAAAACTTGGGTCGCTGACAAGGTGTCCTTGTTGATTATACCCTTATTAGTCTTATAGCTAATGAGGGTATATACAGTTTGATACGGTGAAAATGTGCCTCATCGAAATATTGGTTTTAGACTCCATGTTTTTTTTAGATTAAATCCGTTTCAGAAAATATGGAGTCTATTTACACATGTCAGTCCGTCCGTCCGTTGTCCGTCTGGCTGGCTAATGCGCACGATAACTCTCGAAGGGAATAACCAATTTCATCCAAACTTTGCACATCTTAATATTTCTCCAAACTTAGTTTAAGTTCGAAGATGGGGAGTATCGGTCCACTCCTTTTGTACATCTCCCACAAAATGGTCAAAATTGTGCTAAAAATAAATTTTATAATAACATGCAAACGGACTATCCTATTTTTACGAAACTTTGTACAACCTATTATCTTTATAAAGCTTAGATTAAGTTCGAACATGGGAACCATTGGTCCACTACTTCTGGTACCTCCCCCACAAATGGCCAAAATGTTCAATATTTATGAATCTAATATCAGTCGATTGGAATGACCGATTTGAACCAAACTTTGCACAACCTATTATCATAACCAAGAATATATTAAGTTTGAAGATGAAACCCATTGGCTCACTACATCTGGTACCTCCCTATTATCTTTACCAAGCCAAGTCAAGACCTGATTATGGCCGGCACATGTCACAAGAAAAATCTAATAAATCCAAATTTATGGTTAAGTTATGGGCTTTTTAATATAGAGAAGAGGGCAAAAATTTGTACAGTACTAATTTTTGTAGTACAAATTATTTAAAATTGTTTCGAAATGTACGAATTCTACCATCAGAACCATCTGGAACACCACTACCATAAACTTATTAACTGGCGTCCCTCGTCCAGGCAACTCAGGTGCGAATTTTATGGTATATTTCAATTTATTTCATAAACGAGAATCTAGCCCAAAAGCAACAAAATATGGACTACTCCAAAAGCTTAAAACTAACAATATATTAGCCTAATAATATCATAACGTCTATTAAGTTGGAGGGGTTCAGAACCATTGTACTTCAAAAACATTTTTATTATAATAATAATTATTTGCACATAGGGCCAAGGACTACAGTAATATATTTACTCTCAACCACTAATTTCAATTTACAGGTTTAAATGTCTTATTATTATATCACAATCATCAATATAAACAAGTGAAAAGCGGTAAGTTCGGCCGGGCCGAACTTTGGATACCCTCCACCATAGTTATATTGACAGGTACTATAAATGAAAATATAGGAAACATACCAAAAAGTGGACCTATACCGACATTTCTAAAAACGGATTATGTAAACCATAACAAAAATTTTCGAAATTTTTAAAGGATAATTATACCCTCAGCCTTATGGCTAATGAGGGTGTATACACTTTGACACGATGAAAATGTGCCTCATCGAAATATTGGTTCTAGACCCCATGTCTCTTTGGACCAAATCCGTTTCAGAAAATTTAGATTTCATCCGAACTTTGCCCATCTTATTATTTCTTCCAAGCTTAGTTCAAATTCGAAGATGGGGAATATCGGTCCAATCCTTCTGGAACCTCCAATCAGGGGCTAGGTCTAAATGCGGCTATAGTTCACTACCGAACCTTACGTTCTAATTTTTTATCTCTCTATCCTCCGCAGTTGTAATGATTACAAAAGGGTCTTAGAACCAAACCCAAAACGCGCAACAAATCAGATAACTATTTTAATATAAAAAAGGGGGTTATATGGGGACTACCCCAAAAAGGGGGTGAATATTAATAATTTTTGGTAGGGAGATTTGTTACCATATACGACTACAAAATACCAAATTGCAGCAAATTCGGTTGAAAAACGCGCTCAAGAACCCCAAAATACCGAAAATTTGGGGGTACCCTTATATGGGGGCTATCCGAAAAAATGGACCTATATTCATAATATTTTGTGGAGAGATTTGGAAACTATTAAGAACTCAATGTACCTAATTTCAGCGTATTTGGTAGAAAAACGAGCTCAAGAACCCCAAAATACCGAAAATTGGGGGGTACCCGTATATGGGGGATATCCGAAAAAATTGACCTATATTTATAATTTTTTGTGGAGAGATTTTGTACCTATTAAGAACCCAATGTATTAAATTTCAGCGTATTCGGTTGGTCAAGAACCCCAAAATACCGAAAATTAGGGGTACCCTTATATGGGGGCTATCCGAAAAAAATTACCTATATACATAATTTTTTGTAGAGAGACTTGGTACCTATTAAGAACTCAAAATACTAAATTACAGCCGATTCGGTGGAAAAATACGATCAAAACCCCCAAAATACTGAAAATTAGAATGTACCGTTATATGGGGGCTACCAGAAAAAATGGACCTATATTTATAAATTTCTGTGGAGACATTTAGTACCCAATAAGAACTCAATGTACCAATTTTCAGCGTATTCGGTTGAAAAACGAGCTCAAGAACCCCAAAATACCGAAAATTGGGAGGTACTGTTATATGGGAGCTATACCTAAACGTGGACCGATATATCCCATCTTCGAACTTGACCTGCCTGCAGACAAAAGACAACCCTATGCAAAATTTCAGCACCCTATCTCAATACCTTCAGAAGATAGCGTGATTACAACAGACGGACGGACGGACATGGCTAGATCGTCTTAGAATTTTACCCTGATCAAGAATATATATACTTTATAGGGTCGGAAATGAATATTTCGATGTGTTACAAACGGAATGACAAAATTAATATACCCTCCATACTATGGTGGAGGGTATAACAAATTGGCAATATTGCCCAAATGTGCTTGTTTTGACGTAAATGCAATAAAAAAGGCTATTTCTGTGTGTGTGACCATGAGATGTCAACGTCCGCCGCTAGAAAATATAGCCTTAAAAGTTAGAGGATCTAAATTGACTATATGGTGACATGACTATGCTGCCGAATGTGCCCCACCAAAAGCCGAAGCTACCCCAGGTAGGAGCACATTCGGCGAATTTGACTTTAAGCTAGAAACTTGAAATTTGGCATGTAGGTGGGGTTTGGTGAGTAGGCGTGTGATATGGCGGGGTTTTTGGAACTAAAACTAAATTACTAAATTACGCCGGAACGTTTGAAAGTAGAACTCTGAAATTTGGTATGCAGCTTTGCCAATAATAATTCCAAGGACATGTTTGAAAAAAAAAATTGAATTTAGTACTAAGAGGTACTAAGTATTATATTTGAATGAAAATTGATATGTAGCTTAAGCTATTACAAATAGAAAGTTGTGCAAAAATAACTTTTGGAAATTAGTACTAAAATGGTACTGAAAAGTACTAAAACTATATTACACCGGAACGTTTGGAAGTAGAACTCTGAAATTTTGTCAAACTCTGAAATTTGTCAATGATAGGCGAAGGGGAATGTGTGAACAAATTTTGGAAATTAGTACTTGAGGTACTAATAAGAACTTAATATTATATTACAATGGAACAGGTTCGGGTTGATATCTGAAACATGGTATTTAACTTAAGCTATTCCAAATATAACGATGGGCAAAAATATTGGAAATTAGTACTAAAAATTACAATAGAACCGATAGAGATAGAAATCAGGATCTGTGTATATAGCTTTTACTATTACAAATTAGTACTAAAGTGGCAATAAAAAGTACTAAATAAAAATTACAATGGAGCCGTTAGAAATGGAAATCTGAAACGTGGTACGTTGATTTTACTATCACAATATATATTTTTTTAATTAGTACTAAATATTAAATGACAACTGAATCGATATAGATTGAAATCTGAAACATAGTATGTTGCTTAGTTATTTCACATATAAAATTATATGCATACATATTTTTGGAAACAAGTACTAAATTCTGTAGCACAGTGAATGGTAAGAAATAGAAATATAATAAATATTTGTACTAAGATTGGGAATGGCGGGCACGATAACTCAAAAACTAATAATCCAGTCGGTTCCAAATGTTGACACGTTCCTGTGGGAATGTATAGCTCTCGTATGAACTAGGATAAAGCCAATCGGTAAAGATCTTCGTTATTTTTTTTAACTTAGTTTGTGGAATTAAGGAATTTTTAGTTTCTCAGATTTGTTTTTCAATTAACCGGAGTTTTCAATTAAACGGAGTTTTCAATTAAACGGAAAAATTGTTATCGTAGTAAAAAATAGTAGATTCTTGAAGTACGGGACAGACCATATTTTGATTTTCTTCATGCATTGTGTGTGTCACACATACATAAATAAACTTAAAAAAAATAACACATAGTATGATAAATCCTGTACGGCATGATGTATAGCAACCCTGTCGTACATTCAACTAAATGAAAACTAACTTTTTTCAATTAGTAGTGGTTGATAAATCGACTTTTTTACATGGAATGAACTAACTATTTCAACATTGTGATGTCCTACGAAGTAGTCAATTGTCCGAATTTGCATTACTTTCAGTTAACTTTATAGTCAGTTATCCATCAGTGAACTTATAGCTAACCTTTTGGAGTTAGCTATATATTTACTTGTTTAAATATGCTTTCAGTTAATTTATTTTAAAATAACTATTTGTAAGTCAAATTGTAGTCAGGGAAAAGTTAGTTTTTTGCACGTTAGGCTAAAAAACACTATTTGTATCTTGCTGAAATGAAACGAGGTTTAAAAATTTGCATTATTATAAAACAAAAATTTATTAATATAAAAAAACGTAACAAGGATCACATCATTTATCACAAAGATTTTTATAAATATTTTGAACATTTGTGGTTTTATAATAAAAAGAAAATTAATATTAGTTTTTGGATTTAAAAATCTTAGGAATACCAAAAAATTAGTTTGCACATTTGATGCTTTACACCCATCACCACTCTGTAGTAAAGGGTTGTATTTGAAATAAAAAATGGTTAAAAATATTAAATTAATTATTAGTTTTAGCTAATTTGTTTTGAATGCACTTAGAATGAATATGACGCTTCTTGATTATTTTTAAGGCGTTGCGTAGATCAGCATCTACATTCACAGAGCCAAGGGATCAGCAGGCATCTGATTAAATGATAAATATATATGAAAATGTGTACATGATTGTAGATTTAAATCATATATATTTTTTCAAATGAGGATTTACCTGTTAGAAAACCATAAAAATAAGGAAAGTCTTTCAGACGCTTTTCCATGAATCCCCTCTAAATTGACGTCCATACACAAATTATTTGCCATTATCACTGTGAGAGTTTTTGGAGTAAAAATAAATTATTTAATAGATACATAAACAAAATCAGAAATGTTATTAGGAAACTTACCTGGTCGTTCCGATTATTTGCCGCCTCAAATGTCGTTTACTCGCACTTCTCATGTTTATTTTTTTCTTCTGTATTCAAAACAATTTTGTGTTCAAACAACCACATTACATTTAACCACATTATTTATTACATTTAATTATAAACTCACTGTAAAACTTTAAATAATATCACAACACTTTATTAACAAACGACTTTCAATCGACAAATTGTTGTTTACAAAATTACACTTCCAAGGCGTAAATTAAAATTGACGCCGTTTAAATTGAACGGCGTTGGTGGCCGATATTTACATATTGGTGGCCGATATTTACATATATTATTCATTTACATTTTTTTGCATTGCGTAGTAGTGGCTAACTTTAATTGTTTTTTTTTTTTTGTAGTTAGCTACTCATTTGACGACAGGGAAGGTGTATTAAATAAGGTGTATGCATCAGATACAACAACAAATATTTTACAAAAACAACATTGTTGTTATAGAAATTAAATTGTCATGCTGACAAGAATTAACAAAAACAAATATTTAATTATTTTTGTCAAGAACTATTCATTGAGGAATAATTAGTGAATTTGCATATTCTTGGGTTATTGCCGGTTTTAGGTCAGTGAAAAATAAAGTTTAAGACCTGATCGCGATTAATATTAAATTTCCCACATGCAACCCATGGCTCCTTGTGACGTTGTTTATATTGTGAATTACAATCTATTTTTCTATGGAGCCTTTCAATTTTCTTGCCTTCTGAAAGAAAATTGAAAGTCATAAATCCCCGGCCAAAGACTAAATCATGGAAATTGTGTTGACCGTATAAAATCTTTCCATAGGCGTATTTAACCTTCGCCGAGAATTGTGACAAACACCAAGGGGCCGATTCCAATATAGGCTAACATAATATCCTCGATTTTATGAGTACCAGGAATTGATGGACAGATTTCCACACATAATATAAAATATGTGGACCATTCGGCGAACGGGGTTATAACTGAGTTAAGCCTAGGTTTCCTTTCCGTCCGCCTCATTAATGTAGTTTTCTTGAATTTTTATTATTAAAAAAGTCTCAATTTAAAGACCAATTTTGAAATCGAAATGTAATATTGAAAATGATTTGGAGAATTTGCTTTACAAACAATAAAGAAAAAAGTTTAAAACCATATGATTGTCACTTACTCATTATTAAATACACCTTGATGTATAGTGTATGAGACCCTTTAAGGGCCCACCCACCATAGGGCATGCATGACAGCGTTTGAAGTAGTATTAGTAATTTTGTGTCACTTTGAGCGGGTGTGTGGGTGTGTGTTGTTGTGTTTGATAATTGTTGTAACTTACCCCTATAGAAAGACAATTTTTCTCAGCACTGTTGGGGAATTTCACAACAATTTTTGAGCCGGATCTTTCTTTGCGATCGTTCAATCTATCCTCTGCTGGCATGTCACGTTCCGCAGACATTTTGTTAGAATTTTCTTGTGGCGGCGGCTGGTGGTGTGATGATGGAAAATGATTTTTTTGTTATTATTGTTGTTCAGATTTCAAGTTCAAATCCCCTTGGTTTAATTATTGCAAATGCAAAACACAATAAAATAGCTGGTAGCTATCTGTATTAGAAGGCAGTAACTTCCACTTTTTTCTTATTTCCAAAAAAATGCTTAGGGTTTTTCTTTTGTATTAACACACTTGCGGAACTAGATTTGGTGCAAAAAAAAAAAAAAAATAAAACGAAAATAATTTAAAAAAAAATCAAAATATTAAAACACAATTTTTTAACTAGCTCTTTGTATTTATTTATTTTTGTTCTTTAAGTATTTTGGCCCGCCTCCCGGAAAACGAGTAAAAAAGCGCCACCACCAAATAAGTAGACTTTGTCTACGTGTCTTTAATGTGTATTAAATTTTGACATTAATTACCTTGATGAACTGTGTTTTTTAATAAAATCTTCTACTGATTGGATTGCATTGAATGATGCAAACTTGACTCTGGTAGCGGTGAATCTTGTGCAAGCAAACAAAATGTGAGTGACGGTGTCTTCCGGCTTACAAACCTAACACTCACCAGAAACGACTACATTCCAGGCTCACAGCCGGATGAGCCGAGCCGCCGATAAAATTCAAAAGCCGCCGCCGCCGATTTTTTCGGCTTCAGTCGTTATAACAAAAAAATGTGCAAAATACTGTTTTTATAATTATTTAATTATTATGTGCGTTAGTTTTTTATGTTAGAACCAAATAAACAAAAATGGCGAACCAAAAAATTATAATTTATTTGCAAAAAAAAAAATAACATTTTAAATGAAACTAATTCAGATTCCGATGACGAACTAGCTGTGTTTACTGAAATTGATAACGGCATAAATGAGTATGAAACAATATTGAGGAGCCTTGAAAAAATATTTAAAAATCCACGCCTTGAAAAAATATTTAAAAATCCACGCCTTGAAAAAATATTTAAAAATCCACGCCTTGAAAAAATATTTAAAAATCCACGCCTTGAAAAAATATTTAAAAATCCACGCCTTGAAAAAATATTTAAAAATCCACGCCTTGAAAAAATATTTAAAAATCCACGCCTTGAAAAAATATTTAAAAATCCACGCCTTGAAAAAATATTTAAAAATCCACGCCTTGAAAAAATATTTAAAAATCCACGCCTTGAAAAAATATTTAAAAATCCACGCCTTGAAAAAATATTTAAAAATCCACGCCTTGAAAAAATATTTAAAAATCCACGCCTTGAAAAAATATTTAAAAATCCACGCCTTGAAAAAATATTTAAAAATCCACGCCTTGAAAAAATATTTAAAAATCCACGCCTTGAAAAAATATTTAAAAATCCACGCCTTGAAAAAATATTTAAAAATCCACGCCTTGAAAAAATATTTAAAAATCCACGCCTTGAAAAAATATTTAAAAATCCACGCCTTGAAAAAATATTTAAAAATCCACGCCTTGAAAAAATATTTAAAAATCCACGCCTTGAAAAAATATTTAAAAATCCACGCCTTGAAAAAATATTTAAAAATCCACGCCTTGAAAAAATATTTAAAAATCCACGCCTTGAAAAAATATTTAAAAATCCACGCCTTGAAAAAATATTTAAAAATCCACGCCTTGAAAAAATATTTAAAAATCCACGCCTTGAAAAAATATTTAAAAATCCACGCCTTGAAAAAATATTTAAAAATCCACGCCTTGAAAAAATATTTAAAAATCCACGCCTTGAAAAAATATTTAAAAATCCACGCCTTGAAAAAATATTTAAAAATCCACGCCTTGAAAAAATATTTAAAAATCCACGCCTTGAAAAAATATTTAAAAATCCACGCCTTGAAAAAATATTTAAAAATCCACGCCTTGAAAAAATATTTAAAAATCCACGCCTTGAAAAAATATTTAAAAATCCACGCCTTGAAAAAATATTTAAAAATCCACGCCTTAAAAAAATATTTAAAAATCCACGCCTTGAAAAAATATTTAAAAATCCACGCCTTGAAAAAATATTTAAAAATCCACGCCTTGAAAAAATATTTAAAAATCCACGCCTTGAAAAAATATTTAAAAATCCACGCCTTGAAAAATATTTAAAAATCCACGCCTTGAAAAAATATTTAAAAATCCACGCCTTGAAAAAATATTTAAAAATCCACGCCTTGAAAAAATATTTAAAAATCCACGCCTTGAAAAAATATTTAAAAATCCACGCCTTGAAAAAATATTTAAAAATCCACGCCTTGAAAAAATATTTAAAAATCCACGCCTTGAAAAAATATTTAAAAATCCACGCCTTGAAAAAATATTTAAAAATCCACGCCTTGAAAAAATATTTAAAAATCCACGCCTTGAAAAAATATTTAAAAATCCACGCCTTGAAAAAATATTTAAAAATCCACGCCTTGAAAAAATATTTAAAAATCCACACCTTGAAAAAATATTTAAAAATCCATGCCTTGAAAAAATATTCTTTAAAAATCCACGCCTTGAAAAAAGATATAAAAATCCACAAATTTCGTATCTAAATTTTGTAGGTTATTGGAAAAAGTCCAAGGTCTTCTGAGACAACACGACGAACTGAAAAAGGAAGAATCAGAGTTTAAGGAACACTGTCGAAAAGATCTGGCTGCCCTGCAAGAATTTAATTATGAAAATTGTTCTGATTGCCCATACCACAATTTTTATATTTCTTTTCATCTCCTTCCAGGAGCCCATGAATGTGAAAAAGGGCCAAACATTGGAAATTCATTTTTGGCGTTGTGTTTCCAAACAAAAAATTTGGTATGAATGGTGTTTGGCCTCACCACATACCACACATGTTCATAACTTGGGTGGCCGTTCCTGTCCCATTTATTGGACGTAAATACGCCATCCCCCCAAAAAAAACTTCCATTTAGAATTTATTTGTTTATAGTTGAAGCTTTATAGTTGTTAAAGGAGATTATATTTCGTATGGCCGATCATTATTTTTTATACAGTATGTTTAACTTGACCATTTATTTTTTATTTTTTCATTGCAATTGATTTCAATTATGGAATACCTCGTTTATTATAACTATACAGATGACCATAGCTTCCATTAAAGATAAAATAGTTTATAGGTGAAAAGGGTCAAGATTTTCTTTTCCTTCTATCCTATAAATTTAGTATTCTTTAAGATACGGTTTGCCCAATTTGTTGACTCTAAATGGTGTATAATTATATTTTTTTTTTTATTTTAAGCAATTTTTGTTATGTTTAAAAATGCATTATTTATTTTAAGGTTCGCTCTATATATTTTGTTAATTAAAAATTTCCATTGCCTTTATGGGGAAAATTAGTTGGATTACAACTCAATTTCATGGCATGTTTAATTATCATTTCTAGAACTAACAATTTATAGTTGACACAATTTTACTCGATATACATAAGTATAGAATTTAAGTTAAATATAAATACATATTTACTTGAAGGTATCAAGTAATGACAATAAATAAATATATATTGTTAATGACACCAAAAATTATAACAATACAAAAAATGAAGTTAAATTTATTAAAAAGAGATTTTTTAATGTAATTCTGTAAAAAGTTAGCCGCAGAAGAATTTAATATTAAAAAAACACACTTTTATTTTGGTCTTTCGAAGAATTCATTTAAATTTAATCGGTTGATTAAGGAGACCCACCCAATCTAGATTTTAAATATTGACATAAAGATCTTTTGTACCAACCGATTTGGGAATAGAAGTCCAGAGATACAAAAGAGAGCCTCTGGATCATTAGGCCTAACACGCAAGATTAGATTGTAAGGAAGCAACTCGAGAATACTGTGTAGTATCTGTCCGATACCTCTTCAACTGCCCAGCCAAGCTAAGTGTGTAGCAGAAAGTGTGTGGAGTTCACGAACGTTTTTTGTTATTGTTGTTGCTGTTTTTAGCATTCGCGAGAATTCGGGAATGTTTGTTTTCATTCGTGAGAGAATGTCAGAAAGAATTTCAACCACCAAACGAAACGAACGAACGTTGTAGTGTGCTCTCACTCGTTTGTTATGTGTGTACGAATATTCTTTGGTGAATGTTCAAAACGAAAAGAAAGTATTTTGAATCATTCGCGAGCGAATTTTTGCGCACCCTGCTATAGACACAATCTTTACCGGCTGCAGTCTCTAAGAATATGTGAGGAAGAAAACCCCCATTTATAATAGAACTCCTTGTAAGCTCACCAAATTCTGCCAAAGAAGTTCGTTCCATGGTACATACAATGGGCTGAAAGATATCTATAACTTTACCTTCAAAATTTCACCTATCTAAATGGTATTCCCCCTGTGGGGGAGATATTAAAAAAATGTTTTTCAAAATAAATAAAATCATAAATTCATTCGACCGGAAAAAAAACTTTTCATTAACACCCACAAAGAGGAATAATAAAATTGGCGCCATAATAAAAATGTAATATCTCCATTTTTTGCAAAGAGTACTTCCGTGTAACTTATCTTGAATATTTATATTTTTATGCTCGGACAGTAGTCTCTGAAACACCCCATTCATAAAAATGTTGGAAAATGTGAATTACCAAATAAAACAATATCGACATCGCAATAAATATTAATTATTCGATCCAATAATTATTAAATCACCCCTGAAAAACTGGACCCATTTTTATATGAATTAAAACAACATTGAGTTTTTTTGTAGTTTTTAAAATTATATATTTTTTTCACTATTATTTTATTATATAGACCTCTTTTTTCTTCATCTTCATATTTTCGGTAATTTTTTTTATTCAATATATTCTTTTTCTCTTTTTAACTTAGAATTAATTTAAAGAATTATTATTTTTTTTAATTTTTGTTATTTCACTTGCGTATTTTTCTTTACTGAATTAGGTGATGGTGTAAAATTAAGCAGTTGTTATATTTGTTTTAGAATATTTCATATGGATGCTGTTGAGTGTAATTTTTTTTTATTTTGAGTTGAATTATTGTG